CAGTTACAGTAATTATTTCGTGTCTTACGCTTATAAAAAGCACATAATATAAAAAAAAAATTATAATTATTGTTATTAGTAATACATAAACTGGGAACTTTTACAACCCAGCGCACATGTGCAGAGGGATATTAAAACCTAGTTTGTAAAACGTCTGTTGGAATAGATCTTAATGTAATGCACACGAAATTGCTTAGATTGATGAGGAAAACCGACTTAGCCATACCCGATTAACTGGCCTTGTGTGCACAGGAAAATTCCATCATAAATTAATTAATCACCAAGCCTACTTAATCAAATTAAGGGTTAATGATTAAAAATTCATTTTTTTAATCGTGGTTACGATTAACTGTTTAATCAGATTAAAATTAATCATGATTAACTGTAATCGGATTAAATTCAATCGAGTTAACTAATTGATTAAAAAATCAATCGATTGGTACATATATCACAACTAGTACTTACATTATAAAGTCCCGTTTTGACAGCAAGCAAGTCAAAACTCGTACGTGCCGGATGATTAATTTGCTCAACAAAAATGGTCAGTATAATGTTCACTTTCAAAAATATACTATGATTATTTTGTTAATAATTTGTCACTGTAATTAATTAATTTAGTATGCAATAAAATCTCCCCAAATGGGTCACCTCATGTTTATGTGCATAGGTACATACTCTAATCGTCGTTTTATTTTTTTTCATATTCACTCTTTAAAAACTTTACTTCTCAGCCTCTATCCAGCGCTGTTACTTGTAACTATTCCATAGTTTTTGAGGATTTAATGTTTACTTCTGGCGCGAAACGAAGCATAAATAATAATTATAGCAACAAATATATACGTGCTCCACCATACCGCAGGTATTTATACCAAATCTGCATTCAATATTGCAAATTAACACCTTCATAAAGCACATTGCCTTTGAATGAACAAAATACGGCTAATTTAACCAAAAAGCATCTGGCATTGCGTATGCGTTAGGGCGGTCCAATAATGCATGTGAAAAAGTAAAGTCGGAATTTTCATGCTCTCAACCTCTAGGATTGTTCCATACCGAAAAAATATACCCATATTTTTTATTTTCGAATCAAAAAAATATTTGGAGGTCACCCAAAGCGCTCAAAATCTCCCATGTATTTTATATGCGGGAAAAACACTTTTCATATAAATGGTATGGAATTCTTGAAAAGCAATTTAATTCGATTCGAAAACACTGTTTCTCTTCTGGAGACCCCCAATAATAATACCCAACTAATTATTTGACATTTTTTTCATAGTAACTATATATATTGAAGGTTGTTTCTCTCGGTGAGCTGGACTCATCGTCAGAAACTTATGAAGCAGTGAACTTGGTCACAAATGCCTGCAATGCTGCTCAAGCAGGCGCTCCCAAAGGGCAAAAAAAACCCCAGTGGTGGAATCCGGAGATTTCAGGACTGAGGAAGAACAGTAGGAGGCTCTTCAATCAAGCTAAACGAACAGGTCTTTGGCAACCATAGAAATACGCTCTCAAAGTTTTCAAGAAGGCCATAAAGAGGGCGAAACGCGAATCTTGGCAAAACTTCTGCAACAACATAGAAGAGAACTCTGAAGCCAATAGGCTGAGGAAAGTTCCCTCGAAATTCTCTTCAATTATGAACTCTCTCCAGATGCCTAACAGTGACTGGACGAAATCATGTAATGAAATGCTGAAGGTCCTTATGAGCCACTCACTTCTCGGGCTGCTCGGATGACACCTCCGTATATTCGCCCGGTCCTAGGACCTACTTGTCTCTGGGTGATACCAATACCGACGTCGTAAGTGAGGAGAGGGTGGAATGGGCTTTTATGTCCTTCAGCCCTACAAATCTCCGGGCCTTGACGGAATCTTTCCCGCTCAACTACAGGAAGCTAAGGACATACTGTGTCCCATGCTTTCTAAGATTTTTACAGCCTGCCTAACCCCGACTCCACCAAACACCACACGAGCGGACAAAGGCAAAGGTTGTATTCCTACCAAAAGGGGGCAAGGCCGTTCATGTTAATCGACGAATATATTTGACGGAATATTAAAACTGACGACTTCTCCCCGAATCAGTGTGGAGACCACACTTCATGAAATCGTATTGACGATTGAAAAAGGATTGACATTAAAAGAATACACGCCCGGAGTTTTTCTCGATATCGAGGGTGCTTTCAACAACGTCTACCCGAAGTCTGTTGTTAACTCCATTCTCATGGCGGGGGTACAGAGGGGTCTGGTGGACTTTGTTGAGCTCCTTCTCGTAAAGAGAACTATTCTATCAGAACTGGGGGATGGTTCAATTACAAAGTATATGACCAGAGACACTCCCCAAGGGGGCGTTCTCTCCTCTCTACTTTGTAATCTGACAGTGAACACCCTACTTCTAAGAAGCACCGGTTGTCACGTCATAGCGTACGCCGAGGATATAGCAATCGTGGCAATGGGCAAACATCTTCAGGTCCTGAGTGAGTTATTGAAAAACACACTCGATCTAAGCAAANTCGAGGGGGAAAGGGCCATAAACCTGAACCCAGGGTCTACGGCCATATAAACAGATGGTTCCAAGCTTAACAAACAACAAACTGAACTCGCGCTAAGTCTCAGTTTTCGCTTACCGCACCATTGTACCGATTTTCAAGCAGAATTGAACGCTATAATGGAGGCGGTTCGGTAGCTTATAACCTCCGCCCCTCCAGAATGGCCTATTGCTATTTATTTTGACAGCCAGGCTGCTATCAAATCTCTTAATTCTAATGAAACAATGTCCAAATAGCCATAGAATGCAGGAAGACTCTCAACTGCCTAAAGGATGAGCTGGCAAGGAGGGGGACGGAAGTATCTGTAGCCAATTCTGCTCGGAATGCGGGAATACCTCTAACCTCCTGCAAACGCAGACTAATGGCGAAACTCGTTGAGGAGGCAAATTTGGCCAAAGATGATTGATGACAACCATAAATGTTAAATTAAAACCAACAGGTGGCCAATTAACAGGTGGCAAAGCTCCTAGAAGCAGATTAGAAATAAAGTTCCTTCGAGGCTATTTCATTGATATCCATATATTGGATATAACTTTATAAATAGGTGGAAACACTGTTTAAAACAATTTCAAACTAAAACATTTTTAATCCTTTTTTATCTCACACCCGTATTGCGATACATATTTAAATTATCTAATTCTCATTATTAAACCAGAATAAAGTTTTTAAAACAATAATATTTGTTCAAAGCCATTTGGATTGATATTCATATTGTAGTAACTCATTTCACCTATTTTATACATTGAAATTCTCTTTGTAAATAGGTGGCAACCCTCCTACATTTAATGAAGAAATAAAGCCTTTTTGATAACTCATTTTTGATATGACTATGTACTTACATATTTCATGATCGAATTTTCGAGCTTTTCTTTTCATCATTTTTAAAGGTCGTCTCCCTCCCTCTATGGTACTCTTCATCATTAGGGATGAAATGATACGAGTAAATACAAGAACATGCTCGATAATTTTCGTTAGATAACAACTAATTTAGTATTGATTCTTTTGAACCAAGTACTGAGGTCAAGGTAATTTTTGTCTTCTTTGTACCTAAATACAGCAATTTAAAATGAAGTGCTTCTACAATTCTTGCGACAAAGAAAATTGATTCCTTGATGTAGGAACCTTTTTTAAAACTTCATTATTAACTTTTACTATTCGGAGTTTAGGATTCGTCGAGGATGATTACTTTATTACTTAAAAAAATTAAATTCAATCCGGTTCAAAGGGAATACCTTCATAGCCAAAAGTACCGATACGAGTAGGTATCGATACATACTTCAAATTCGATATATTTCGGTTATCGTTACTTTCAAGTAAAGCTATCGATACCTGCATGATATCAATTCTATGAATTTGGCTATTTATTTTTTTATTATTTAATTTAAATTACAATTTTTTTCATTAACCATATATATAAATCCAAGTTTCAAACTTTGAACAAAAAATAAACAGTATCATCAAAATTACACAATTATCATTCAGGATCTATAGAAAATTATTGGGTATGCTGTCTTATAGCCCTTGGTACATTCAACACCATATAAAAAATGGTTGAATATATATCGTATGGAAGCAAACAGTCAACAATAAAAAATGAAGAAAATCAACGCCAATTTATTATACTGGAATTGAATTTGCTAAAAAACTGGTAACAAAAAATGTTCTAAGAACTCCGAATATAAAGTGTGGAATTGTGATGAAATTACAATTTTTGTAGAACGTTTGAAACTTGGATTTGTTTGGGTTTTGTTTTAGAATGAACTTTATTTAAAAAAAGAAATCAAACTAATAAAAAAAATTAATAGCCAAAACTTGCGAATGTGAGGATGTCATATAGTTATGATAAACACAATTGTAACTAATCACCTCTTACGCAGCAATACGAGTTCCACTTCAGATTTCTTGAGAAACTTTGTTGAAATTTACTCACCCTATTAATGTGTATGTACGTTTGTGTGTACATATTTAAGGCCAGTATGCAACTATCAATGAAAATGAGTCAAATTTCCTTAAGGCAGTACGCAGTTCTTAAGAAATTTGCTACGTGTTCTACTACGGGTTTCTCAAGTTTTTTGTGAAAAAAGAGCACAAGGCAACCCATTTCTTGAGGAAAGAGTGAGGCAACAGGCTGTCACAGATGCCAAAATTTCTTGGACACACACACGAAATAATGGCAAATTTTTTCTTGATCGTTTTCTTGAGAGCTGCATATGTATCTACATATGTACACAGTTTACTTCCAAATGGGACTTTTCTGTGAATCACACTTCAATGGTATTCGAGAGATGAGTTATGGAATGGAATGAAAGGAATACGATGCAATTTTGCAATCCCATGAATTTTGTGTTTTATTTTCAAGTAGTCAAAATTATTCATATTATTTATTCATACATATCGGCTATATAGCAGGAAAAAAACCTGGCAAGTTTTTAATTCCATTTATATTTTTCGCACATCCAGGGCAATCTGATATCAAACGCCTGCGCAGAGAGAATGAACAACTGCGGCGTGAGATTTGGACGCTTCGCGACGAATGCGATCGCTTGAATAAACGCTTCAAGGCGAAGCTTTTGGATAGGCATAGCGGCTGCAGTGGCGGTGGACGACCCAGCAGTCACGTATGCGACAGTAATTGCAACAGTGATGTAAGTAACAATAAAAAGGGTTAGTGGCTTGAAGCAACGATTATTTTACTTTTCTCCCTCCCGTTTCTTCTTCAATCTTCCCAGGACTCAGATTCCTGTGATACCTGCAAGGGCAACGATGACGAATGCAGTGATGAATGCTGCACTGGTGGCAGCTGTCCACAACTGGCCACAAAGCAGCCTTTTATTGAATTTGCACCTGACACGCCCACAAGTCCTGCACCACGCACAGATACGGCGAAACTGGGCGTTAATTCCATGGGCGCCGCGTCCGAAAGCACACCAAATTTACATCAGGCATTTGATCATCTGTCCGTGGTGTCGGAGGAAACGATGAGCAATGCCGATTTACACCCGCCGGTGCCACACAATGAAATGTTGCATATTTATACGCTTGATAGCGGTGGATCGCAGATGACATTGCCCAGCTTAGTCGGACCGCTGACGCCGTTGACGCCTATCGAGCAGGTGGCCAATCAGCTGAATGACCTACAAGCGGTCGTGCCGCCATTATCTTACTTCGAGAATATAATACAGGATCACATGGGATCGAATATAGGTGAGCAAGCAATTGTCTAGTATTGTCGTATTAATATCTTGAAACACTCTCTTTCCTCTGCAAAGGCAACGCACCAAGCGCCAGCTCGCCTATTTCGAAAAATATGCGCCACACCAACGGTTGGGACTACAAACTGCAATCGCCTTTCGCACATCGAAAAATATCGGGTGACAGCTCACAACCGGCTCTACAGATAGCCAATCTCTCGTCGAGTACGGCACAACAACAACGCTTTAAGCCGCCTCAGCTGTTGTCAACATTTGTGCCGGCGGCAGGTAATGCGAGCTCGTCGAACTCGACCGGTTTTACGGTAACAGCGCCGAGTGTGCAGAGCCAGCCAAATACGTCCACAATAGAAACAGTCGCAATCACGACAACGCCTGTGAATGCGCCATCGACACTAAGTAGCCCAAAGCACTTCTTTGCGCCACTTAAACCCCGGCTGAAACTCAACACAGATTTGGCTAATAAAACCACGAACAACACCAACGTGCCTGGGGTACCACCCCTAAGTTCCAATCCAACAACAGCGGCGGTCGATGTTGAAGAAAATGCCTGCCAAAATTGTGACGCGCCTGACCTCTATGTACACAACGGTGTGGCTTCGCCCTACCAGCGTCAAATAGCGACCGCAACGAGTGCGGCCAATGCGGTGCCACCGCCAGTGCCTCAACGTGGCAGCTCCTCTCAAGTAAGTCCCCAGCATCGCGCTCGCGCGCATCACCAACACCAATATATGCAGGAGTGGCAGCAGCAGCAGTCGAACATGCGTCAACATTTGCATCCGCACCAGTATTCGCATCAGTACCAGCAGCAGCACCAGCGGCCACTGCAACAGCAACACTCGCAGCTGCATTCAGCTGTTGGGCTACCGCAATCGGTTGTCACCATCACGGTGACCGTAGATGATGCTGATGAGGTCGCCGCCGGTGCTGATACTGTTGCCGCTAGCGGTACTGATGCGGCTGTTGCTGCCACTGCAGTGCCTAACAATTTGGCAGTGAAGGGTAACCGCGCCCCATCAGCGGCATTAATTAACTCGCCACTTTCACTGCAAGCATCGCTTTATGCTACGGCAACAATACCAGTCCTGCAATCGCCTGCCGCTATGCCAGCGGTTTTTGTTGCACAACCTAACACTGTAATAACTAAGTTAAGTGAGCCAATTTATGCTACCGCACAAAAGCGCAGTAAGAGCCTAATTACCGCACCAGCGCTCACCAAACCTCTGGTGGCGGCTATCATCACCCCTACCAAGCGTCCAACGCCAACAACATCAAACAAAAGTAGTGGGACAGCAACGCCAGTTCACTCGCCGATACCAGCGCCTACGCCAACATCGGCGCCAAAAGCAATGCTTGTGGATGGTCACAGCCAGGTGAGGGGTCCTACTGGACCGCTCCGCCAAAATGTGCTTTGAGTGTTGGTTATTGTTGGTAGTGGGTAGACCAGATTGTATCGAGTAGTGCCAAGTTATGAGTTTTATATGCTTACACCTGAATTCATAAAAAGTAAAATACATACATATGTATGTAGGTAGTTTTGAAATGCTTGTTGACAAAAAAAAAACTAAAAAATATGTTATCAATTTACGAAGCTTTTAGTCCTTTTTATTTTTATAACACCTGTTAAATTTTTATTTTATATATCTAGTCTTTATGTATGCACACTTAGACTAGTCCGCCTTACTCTAAAAAAATTCTCACGAGTGCCATACAATGACTTTTTTCGAATAAGTGCCTGAATACGCTAATAAAAAAAGCTCTGTATTCGTATTTGTACCACTTATATCAGTATCGATACTATCGATGAGAGTGGTGAGAATATCGAAGGTTTGTCGATTTGGTTTCAATTAATTATTTTACACTCATATCTTAAAAAACGGATTTATATAATTGGCCATTCTACGCAAATACAGTAGGGTGGGTACTCTGTCATATATTTATGTATGTATGTACCTGTCTCTAATATAACCTCATAAACGGCCTTTGTAGAGGGCAACCAAGCTCACCTAACCGATATGTATACATAAGTATGTATGTACATAAACTTTTTCAAAGCGTCACTTATTCTATATAATTCGCGCGGTGATTTGTGTAAAATTTTTCACCTGTTTATCATTCTAACAAGACGTAATATGCCACATCTATTGTATATGTAGACTAAAAATTCCCTGGTATGGCTCAATTATAATCAGGTAAATCGATATCATTCAATTTTCATGAAGTTCAATTCCCGACATACACCACTTAAAGAAATCGTGCAAATAGCACAAAAATTCAACTTCAACTGTCAACTTCAGGAATGTCAACCCTTAAATTATTCGCTTTTAACGCATTGGCATGCTATTATTACATTAAGTCATGTCCATTTATACTTTAAACTAGAGCCCTCAGTGGTTTCCGTTCTAGACGGATAGCTCGTAGCGCACTGTTTAAATTTGAGGCCATTGAAAAAAAGAATACTAATCCTTTACAAATTATTAGAAAATAACTAACTGCTAAGAAAAAAGTTTAGTAACTAGAATGCGGAAACCAAATAAAGAAATATTACTTGAACCTTGTACTGTTCTTCTTCACAGACAGAGTCTGTCAATTTGGAAACGATCCTCAATGACATCCAAGCAATATCAGAGGACATTTTGGCGATTCAGCTGGACAAGCGAAAGGGGAATGATAATGACATCAACAAGCCGCTGGAACAGAACGACAAAAACAAGAAGCCTTACCGTTCTGAAATGAATCTGACACTTCAGTACGACGGGGTAAGTCAGGCCACTACTGCCGCCAACAAGACCGCAACCGCGACACAGACGTCTTTCGGCAGCAACGGCGGCAACAACGCCCGCTGTACGCGTTCATTGGAACGCGAACACACCGATAGTCCGTCGCCCCACATACCCGACGCAATGGTCCCCTTTCCAGACAAACGTACCTACATCGGCTTTGATCAGCTGAACAACGAGGCAATAATTGAGCTGCCGCCTTCAAGCGTTGCAAATATGCAAAGACCGCCACTGCCAACAGTAGTAAGTGCACCCAACAAGGCACATCCACCAACGCCGCCGGCGCGTGGGTATCCATCGCCGCTTAACATACGCTGCGCGGGTTTGGCGCGTGGCACGCCTGTGGCAATACCAGAGCCACCGGGAGGGGAGACGGCGAGCAGTGCACAGGGCAGCACGCCAGTGATAGTAGGCCTTGCACCAAACAAAAGCCAACTTTATACCGCTATAGCGAATGCGGCAGCTAAGCGCGCGCAGTATCGTTCATCAATGGCGCATTCGCTAGAAGGGCATTTGTCCGCTGCAGCTGTAGCAGCGGGCACGGATGCGAATAATGCGGATGCCGCAAACGAGGTGAGTACGGCTCGGCGAAGTTTAAATATACAAGAATTTGTTTCATGTACATAATGTATCCTTTATTTAGGCGCTGAGTAGTGAGGCTGCGCGACGGAAAGCGCGACGCGTTTCAATCGTTTGTGGCGACTCAAGTACGCCGGACTCACCTGATCCAGTGACAAATCCTCACCTAATTCGATCTCAAGCACAAATTAATTTGAGTGGCCTGCAGGATGCCGCCACAGCTACTAATTCAAATTCAGCGAACACAACAATAACAACAACGAATACGATTTCTCCATCCGTAGGTAGTTGCTCAGACCTGCCATCCGCGCTGGTTAATCCAGCGCTGAGGAACCTCAAGCAGACCAGCCACAGCACACCCAATTCACCACATTCCGTGCGACGTCGCAGTAACAGTAACACTATGAGCCCGCATAACAGCGTTGCTGACACCGCACATCCCCCACAATCACTGTCGGCCAACACGTCCCCGCGCCACACGGCTACCGTACACCATCATCACAGCAATAGCAGTTGTAGTAATATTTCCGCGGCTCAACAGCGCAAATCCAGTCAGGACTCTACGCCCGGCAACCCGACGGAATTGGCAGCTGTTGAGGCAATTGCAGGGCGCTCACGTTGTTCCAGGCGTCACTCCGACGGTACGGTGGCGAGTAATGCGCATCGCATTAGTGGCACTTCCGGTCATCACCACCATCATCGCCACCATCATCATCAGCACAGTTCGTCGGTGCTCAGCAACAATCTGCATCACAGCCATCATTCGCATCAGGACAGCACTTCGTTGTCGGAACACGGATCGAACAGTTCGGCCTCGTCGCGAGAATCATCGACTTCGTTCAGTGTGCGTTCACATCGGCGGAAAATCTCAATTAGTTCGCACACCGGGGGTAAGATACCATGGTGTGGGTGCTGGGGCAACGGCTGCTTGTAGGTAAGATAAATGCATACATATGTATGTATAGTTGTGTGGCGAGAGTGTATTTTAAAGTGTATAAAAACGTCTAAGTAAATGTAGTAAATTTGAATTTATATATAAATACACATTAATTAGTTTTATTATATTTATCAATTTAAATGTATTTAAATTCGTTAGGAGTTAAATTCTAGGAAATTCGTTCGAATATAGATTACTATTAAAATATTGAATAAAAATTAATTAAATAAATGTTCTAATATACATACTAAGCTACAAAGCTGTTCGAATCGGTTATTTCATAATTTTGCTTTATGGAGTTTTTTTTTTGTTAGGGCTGATTTAATCAGAATTGAGTTCCATGCTTAATTTTGATTTGTTAAATATATATTAAAATAAAAACTAAATATGTATGCTAAGTGTTTGTGGGGTCGTCTTATTATTGTAACACAACTAGAGGGATCTTCAGTACGGCGTTTGTATTATTCGTCTCCTTCTTTATTTATTACTACACTTTCAGGAAACAGGATATCTCAAGAGACAAAGTATGCCTTTATAACCTGGCATTAACTGATGCTGCAAAAATCGTTATGATTTTCTTTACGAAGCGAAACCGAGTCCACTAGCTTTGCCTACTTTATACAGACCTTCTTTGGTTTACATATCTGCATACTATTTA